AGATGCGTCTTGCCCCATTATCCCCTGCCACCCTCTTGTCCTCCGTCAGGAAGACAGTATGAATGGACTGGATGAGGTGGAACCCACAAATGTTCCCCACAAGCATTTCCCCATGAACAGGAATGCTGGGCCTGGGGGACCCAGGGGAGGTTGACCCAACCTGCATTATCCCCTGCCCGTGCTGCACCCACAGTCTCTCACCTCACTGGCTCCTGAGAAGTGGGAGCCCTCACTCACTCCTGTGACCTAGTTCCTCCCTCAGTGCAAGGAAGATACTATCAATCAGTCCTGAGGGGAGCGCAGGTTCAAATCTCGGCTCTGCCACTTCCCAGTTGTGTGACGACTTTGGGTGAGTCACTTCACATCTCTGTGCCTCAATTTCACATCTATGAAATGGGGATGATGATAAGACCTGCCTCACAGATTGCTGAGGAAGTCAATTCAGTAGCATCTAAAGCATTCAGAAGAGAGCCTGGCACAGGGTTAGCACAATGTAATCATTTGCTGTCGTTATTAATAGCATTTTTAGCAGCATTATCTAAAACTACATCTCCATCTCCATCCTAAGCTAGTAATTACCAAGCTCATACTTCACTCTGGAATCCAAAGAAGGCATTAATAATAGCAGATCTCTCTGTTAAACAGGAACCTCCTGCCCGTCCGTCCCTCTCTCTCTCTCTCTCTCTCTCTCTCTCTCTCTCTCTCTCACACACACACACACACACACACACACACACACACATCCTCTGTGTGCCTGACACTATGCTCAGCACTTTACATGGATTACCACACTGAGCTTTCCTAAGCTCCTGAGAACTCTAGAATCTCCCATTGTGGATGACAGGGAACAGGCTCTATGACTGGTTCCCAGTCACACAGAGGCACAGAGCTGGAATCCTGACTCAGCACTGGGGCCTCAAAATTCCCTGCTGTTTCCACAGCACCCTCAGCCCTCTAAGGAGTTGTGAACGTGTCTCAGGACACTGGCTGATGCAGAATTCTAGTCTTGCTTCTGAGCTCGCCTGCAAAGCTGAGAGATCTGTCTATGAGCTCTGAGCTCTTTAGTGGGAAGGCAGCAAAAAAAAAAAAAACAGCCCAGCTAAGCTGAAATATTCTCCTTGGAGGGGATGGGAAATAAAATTTGATGAACCTCTGCATAATGTTCAAGTTATGAACGTGTGAAGTGATATTCTGCACATATGCTGAAAACATTTATCTTCTCCCACACCACCGGGGCCTGAGCTGTGAGGGACCGTTCAAACTAGGGCACCATAAATGGTGACTTCCTGCTGGCAGGGCACAGAGAGGTTCTCCTCTGCCTCAGCAATACAAGGTACAGTTGTCCACAGATGCCTGAGGACGTGGATCTCCCACAGCGAGTTGACAGCTGACTGCAGGGTTAATGGAACAGCTTTAGACATGAAGCTTTTTATATTCCTGCAATAAACATTTACTGAGCACCTACTATGGGCCTTGGCTATGTTGGTCATCGTCATCTTCTCCCTGAATGTGTCCTATTCACAACAGAAGCGAGGCAAGCTATCCTGACCTTGCGACAGCTGATTGCACATCTCCCTATGTGGGGCACAGCCTGTCTCCCAGAAGTTTGGACTGGAATGCTGGGACTTGAACTCTTAGATGATGGTGAGGGCTTGAGTGACAAGGGCAAGAGGCAGTCAGGGCAGGCAATCACCGAAAATCATTTCATGACCCCTACTATGTGTGGTCAGGAGCTCTGGTATCATAGTGGTTACAAATCGGGCTGTGAACCTTAAGGTCAGAGGTTTGAAACTACCAGCCGCTCCGCGGGAGAAAGATGAGGCTCTCTACTCCCGTAAAGATTTACACCCTCGGAAACCCTGTACAGGCTCGCTATGGGTCAGAACCAACTCTATGGCACTTAACAACAACAACGACAACAACTATGTGTGGTCAGCAGTTTGAAACTACCAGCTGCTCTGCGGGAGAAAGATGAGGAGTTCTGCTCCTGTAAAGACTTACAGCCTTGGAAACCCTGTACAGGGTCGCTATGAGTCAAAACCGACTCCATGGCACATAACAACAACAACTACGTGTGTTGATGTATGGTATGCACTGGACTGCTCACCACAAGGTCAGTGGTTCAAACCCACCAGCTGCTCCTCTGAAACTCTATACAGGGTCGCTATGCATCAGTACTGATTTGGCGTCACATAACAACAGTGACAAGAACTATATACGTTATAGTCAACAAGGGTGAGACCCCAAGTGAGATGGTTTGTCACAAGATCAGCAACAATGGGCACAAACACCCACAGTCATGACAATGACCGACTGGGTAACGGTTCACTCTGTTTTGCATAAGACTGTCGTGGCTTAGAGGTGACCTGATGGCAGCTGTCTGTCTGTGTTTATCTATCCATCTATCTATCCATCCATCCATCCATCCACTGATCGACTCTGTACCTAGGCACTAGAGGTGCTCAGGACAAACTGGGGAATAGACAACCAAAGCCTTCTGTCATGGAGCTGCAGCAGACAAACAACAGAGCAGTAAACCATAAGTCTGCTGTTATGAAAACACACCAGTGGGATGAGAGATACTGAGGAAGGTGATGGGAGCGTGCAGATTTAGACCAAGTAACTCAGGAAGGTGTCATTGAGCACAGGGCCTCTTGTGAGATCTGAAGAAAGAGTGTTCCAGGCAGCGGGCACCGTATGTGCAAAGGCCCTGAGGTGGGATGAGATTGGAGTGCTAAGGATCAGGAAGGAGAACCATGGGTCTGTAACAGTCAGAGAGGCCCCTGTGTGGTCCCACAAGGCCCCACCACATGACTTCTCTGCTTGAAGCCCTTCCACGTGCCCCAAGGAGAGGTCAGCACATCAATACTGCCCAGCTCTGCAGCCTCTTTCTCCCTTTTCCTTCTGACTTGGATCTTTAGTATCCTGAGAGCTTTTCAGCTCCCTGCCACTGAAGGGCAGTGTTGTTGTTGTTAAGTGCCATGGAGTCAGTTTTGACTCATAGTAACCCTGTGTAGTGTTTTCGAGGCTGGTGGGTTTGAACCAATAACCTGTGGTTCAAACCACAGTCCAGAGCTTATCCTACAACACCACACCGGGACTTCTGAAGGGCATTGTTGTTAAGTGCCAGGGAGTCAGTTTCACAGTGAGTCTGTATAGGGGGGTTTTGAGGAGCAGCTGGAGGGTCTGCATCACTGACCCTTAGGAGTCCAGTGCATGTCTAATTGCAGTTCCCTGGGTTCAGGTCATTTCTTTGGGAGGTCGTCCCTGGGTCCTCTGGAAACTTCTGGGAGGAGAGCGTGCCTCAGTGTGTCTCATCCAAGAGCTGGGTTGTAACTGGGGTCTTCACACACTACCCCCCAGGGGCCAATGGGGGTGCTCCTGGAGCTCCAACACCCTGGAGCCCCACTGAGCCCACGAGCTCAGGACCACCCGTGGGGGCAGTAAGAAGCCTGGAGTCTGCACGAGAACCCGAGAGCTGAGCAGACAAGGGTGTGGACTGGGCAGGAAGGTCCCATGTTTGCTCCTGCATCTGTCTCTCCCATCTGGGTGGGCTGATCCCTGGGGGCACTCCAGCTGTGACTTTCTTCATTCCCCAGAAAAGCTGTGCAAACCTGGGTCCTACCTTCCCCTGAAGCACTGTGCAACCTTAAATAAATGTCTTAACTTCTCTGAGCCTAAGGTTTCTTCTTGCATTAAATAAGGCTAAGGAGCCCTGGTGGCACTCTAGGATAAAGCACTGGACTGCTAACCCCAAGGCTGTCTGTCAATTCAAACCCACCAACTGCTCTCCGAGAGAAAGATGAAGCTGTCTGTTGTTGTACACATTGAGTCTCAGAAACCCTACACAGGGCCGTTGTGAGTCAGAGCGGACTTGATGGCAGCGAATCTGATTTTGGCTTCGCCAATAAGACGAACAGCACCAACTGCAGAGGGTGTTCTGAATGACACAGGTCTTGGTACACAAGGAGCCCTCAAGAGATGTAGTAGTGATGGTTGACTCTGACCAACGGCTGCCATCCCAAGAGGAGACCTGCAGAGCATGAGGGGCCCAGGCCCAGAGACACCATTCTTAGCCCTACATACAGGGGCCCAGGCCCCACTGATTGGGGTGTGGCTAGGAAGTCGTGAGTCGGAGAAGCCCTGTGCCTGCCTCTGCTGCCGCGGATTGGGAAGCAGATGGAGCTCAGATAAAGCAACATATGCTTCAGTGATGTGGGGTCTGCTCCTCACACATGCACATCTGTTCTGGAGATGCTGGGTGTTCTGAGGGAGGCTGAAACTCAGCAGCTACCCCTCCACCCAGAAGAGACTAGAGACACTAAAAGGGTGCAGGTTGGAGAGCAATCCATGGTGGCTACCCTATAGAGACCTTGAGATGGACTCAGGAGGGCAGGAGCAGAATGAGGCAGATACAGGACCACTGGGCAGCAGGGGGGCTCAGGAAGGCCAGGACTCAGCTGCAGATGCTCCATCAGGAAGAGTTCCATCTAAGGAGATCTTTAGCTTCTGAAATCCCACCAGCCAGCTAGCCATCCGTCTGCCTGTCTTCCTTCCTCTCATCCAAGCTTCCAAGCATCCATCCACTCATCCGTCTACCAGCTGAACTCTGAGGACTCAGGTGCTCAGACCTTGAGGAGCCTTCGTCCTCCACTCCTTCATTCCTTCATTCAATGCTGTGCCAGAGCGCATGAAGGATACCTGGGTTCAATTGTCTTGAACCACTGTCTTATCCTAAGACACGCTGTGCCAAATGACAAACACTCAAACTCAGTTCAGTTCCGGGTTTCTCAGGCCTCGGATCACACCAGCCCAAGGCCACCTCAAGCCCCATTAGACTTTGCTGTAGTTGTTGTTAGAATGTATCAAATATTCCAACTAATGGGGTCCAAACTCTGCCCCCGCAGAAAACCTTTGTTAGACCACTCACTCCAGTTTTTGGCTGGGCCCTGAGCTTCAGATTCCCAGTGGCAGCTGAAGGTGACCCCGTATACACTGACCTCTCCCGGAAGTACTTGATAGCCTCAGGGTCTATGAAGGTCGGCTCCTCCCGGTAGCCCTGCTCAAACATCTTACGCTTGTGCCGGAACTCAATGACCGTCTTGGTGTAGGAGTTGAGCGTGGTGACAGAGGCTGCCATGCAACAGGTGAAGGAGCCCCACGCCAGGCTGCCAAGAGACCAGGAGACACCACAGTGAGGGCAGACAGGGCACAAGAAATCTCCCACCCATCACACCCTCATCGTTGTTCAGCTGCCTCCCCAAGCGCTGTGGCAACAAAGAGTAAGACATGGTTCCTGCCCTGCTCAGTCTAGTCCGGGAGACTCAGAATTATCTGTACATTGTGATGCTGGTATGACATGTTCATCATCAGAAGACAAGAAGCGAGCAGGTCATTCCATCCAGGGGGCTGGCACCAGAAAGAGTTCCAAAACATACAAAATGCTTCTGGGTTTTGTAGGAATGTGAGAGTTTGCCAGGGGAAAGGGCATTCCAGGAAAATGAAACAGCAGGGCAAAGTCACAAACAGTAGGAAGCATCCCACAGTGTAGGAGGCGTGGGATGCTTAAGTGACAAATGCCTGAGATTTGCTGGAGTTGATGATGGAGAAGTAGAGAGACCCAGACACTCTAAAACCTGGCTTTTTTATTTATTTTTTATTTTTTAGGTTTTTATTGTGAATTATGCGATAGTTTACATGGGAGAACATTAGCTTTACATTCATCCTATCGTATATGATTTCATTGCCATGGTTACAATCTCCTCCATGCATCATCAACCAACCAAAAGGTATACCCTGCACAAGCCTGCCCCTGGGTCGTCAGCACACAGCCCCTCTCCCTCTCTGGGTCTAGAGTCCCCAGCCGCTCCATCTCTCCACATCGTCTCTGCCTCCATCTCTGATGTCACTGCTTCTCTGGGTAGGGTTCTGCTCTCCGCTCTTCTCCCTTGATGGTCCCAGGAACCTCCCTCCACTCCTAGATTGCAAAGTCAATCACTCCCCTCCTTTGCTACAAAACTTCTACCTTTACATTTCCAACCCTCACCGTCAGTCCAGATAGAAATTATTCACTATTGTATCACAAGAGACCTATCCGCATTTCATTTCATCAGTCCCACCCAGACAGATTGGATACCACTCAGTGGAGATTCTACCTTCCTCTGTACGCCCTGGATCTAGGTTCCCTCTCGAAAGCTTGTAAACCAGGCACTTCTTGCCTTTGTAGCCCCCGCTCCCCCACACATTTTGGGTAGCCAATGTCCAAGTTGCCCATCCCTGTCTACCCTGTGTATGGAGGGGGGTGGGTGGGAATGATCCTCGCTGTAAAGATTTGTTCCCTAAAAGCTGGATTTGTGAGAGTTCAGTAACTGTCCTTAGGCAAGATGCTTCACTTCTCTGCCGTATACTCTTCATGCTCACTGTAAAATGGACACAATGATAGGGCTTAAAGGGAATGAGTCATTTATATGTCAGAACATAGTAAGAACTCAAGAAAGTTCTGCTTGCATTAGCATCATCATTAGCATTTTCCCTACTCACCTCTCTAAGACTCAAGGAGATTGAGTTACAATGGCCTGTTGGTTTGCTACTCCACACTGCCTCTACCCACAGTTGAGAACTCTTGGCTACCAAGAGACCAGGAGACACCACAGTGAGGGTGGACAGGGGACAAGAAATCCCCCACCCACCCAGTCCTCACTGAGCCAGATCAAGCTGGAGAGCCTATCCTGACCCCATCTGGAAAGAAGGGCAAGCTGGGTGTGAGCAAGGAGACTCAGCCCGCCAGGTGGTAGTCCTTGTCTGAACATTCCCGTTCTACAAATAGTTTCCTGCTTGATTCCTCCAGCCAGGACTGTGCAGTAACATTTCGTTCCGGAAGCCGAGTTCCTGCTTTGTTCTAGCCACACCTGGCCTTATCTGGGAGTCGGCTTTGACTCTGCCTTGAGAACTGGTTTCCTCCCAATCATGGGTTCAATTTTGCTCAGGTTGCCAGCCTGCTCGGTTTCCAAACTCCAGGCCTCCCTCCTGCCTGCACATCCATCTGGCCACTGCATACCCAAGGGCCAAGTGCAGCCCACTTCCTGTACCCACCACTCTTCTCTCTGCCAGATTCAGGGCACCTACCTCACAAGGGAAACCAGAGTACTTAGCCCTTCTCAAAAGCACCTTCAAGGGGCATCTCTTTCCTTCAATGAAAACCCCGAGACTGAAGAGATTCTCTGTTTTTTTTTTGTTTTTTTCACAATAAGGAGCTAATTTAGATCTTTCAGAAGTGCTCGGTGTTTGAAAAGACAGCTTTGGGGGTGGGCCTGGCCCTTCTAAGAATTACCCTGTTCTCCAAAGAGTATGTAACAAAACCTCTTGGTAACAGTTGACCAAGAACCAAAGTTGGTCCAATCAGGCATTGTCTTTTGAGTAACAAATCAGAAGGTTCTAATTCAACCTGTGATGTGTACTGAGTTAGCCTGATGTTGTTGTTAAGTGCCGTGGAGTCAGTTCTGACTCATAGCGACCCCGTATAGAGTTTCTAAGGAGTGACTAGTGAGTTTGAACTGCCGACCTTGCAGTTCACACTGGCCTTGTGGTCTAGGAATTAGCCTGATAGGAACTTGGAATTTGAATATGGAGAATGAAGAAACAAGTTCTCTCTGGGATTCCATGAGTATATAAGAAGTCCTAATGGGTTAAGGGTTGGGCTGCTAACTGAAAGGTCAGCAGTTCAAACCCACCAGTTGCTATACAAGAGAACGACAAGACAATATACTTCCATTAAGAGTTACAGCCTCAGTTCTACTCTGTTCTGTCAGGTCACCATGAGCTGGAATCACCCCGAAGGCATCGGGTTTGGTTTCTATTAGGTTGGTTTGACCAGCATCTACTCTTCCTATTGGTAGTAGCACCCCAATTCTGAAGTGTCCACGTCTCTTCTCAGGCCATGTAAATTTTGTTTCTTGTCCCACCCCTAACCTTTAGGGGTGAGCACATGACCTGTGCATGGCCAATGAGGGTGCTGTTTCCTTCTGACGATGGCAGCTGGTTCAGGGATGGGCACATTGTCCAAATCCAGATAACGAGACTAAGTCCAGGGTATTTGCCAAAGCTCATTTTAACTTCGGTGTTGGTAAGCCAGTGAGATTTGAGTCAGGATCTGCTGGGGAACCCCTGGCCTGAGAACAAAGTTGACCTAAAGGCCCACCATAAAAAGGAGCTAGATCCCCGAGCCTAATTCCTGGACTTTTCCATTCTGTCATTGTTTGGAGTTGTTAAGTGCCATCTAGTTGGTTCTAACTCAGTCACCCTGTTTGAACTACCCTGGAGTTTGAACCACTGACCTTGTGGTTAGCAGTTGAGTGCTTACCCTATGTGCCACACCAGCTTCTTTTCAATTATGGCAGTCCATAGTTCCTTTTTGAAAAAATTTTCCCTTAAACCAGCTTGAATTGGGTTTCTATCAACTGCAAAAATGGTTGTATACAATTATTTTCTGTAAATTCCCTTCTTTTGCATATTAAGTTTTAAAGCGAGTCTTCACTGCTAGGGACGTTAACTATCCCCAACCTAGGATGTGAAACAGAAACTTTTCAAGCACTCAAACTAAAGACCCAGGAAAATAAAAAGCATACACACAAACAAAAAACCTCTGCAGAGATGCTGAAGGTACGGAGCCAGAGGGGAGACCGGTGCCTGCAAAGAGCGTCCATACTAGTTTAGATGCAGGACATTTTGTTCAAGTCAAATGTTAGCCAGGGCTTGCTCCCTCTGCCTTCTCACCCTCCAGTCACGTGACTTCCTGTCTCCTCCTCAAAAACAGGCTCACACCCACTTTCCCCCCACAGGTTTCCCAGGCTCAGCCTGACTGGTTCTTTCTCACCCTGGGTGTTACCTCCCATTAGTAGGAGCATCCTGTGTAGCTAAGAAGTGTTCCTTCCTGATTAATCCCAGCACACCCTGTCATTTGCTTGGATCGTTCCTATTATTTATTGTTATTTGTTTTAAAACGAATCTTTTTATTTTGAGATCATTGTAGATTCATAGGCAGTCGTAAGAAATACAAAGAGATACTGTGTACCCTTCCCCCAGTTTCCGGCAACGGTAAAGTCTTACAAACTATATACAGACCACATCCAGGATTGGTAGCTAAAATTCACAACAAGCCATCTCCACAAGGAGTCCTCCAGCAGCTACTCTGTAGCCACGCCCACTTCCCTCCTGCTCCGCCCCCCCATCCCACCTCCAACTGCAGTTCTGTTCTCCATCTCCAGAATGTTGTCACTTCAAGACCAGGATGTTGTTGTTGTTGTTGTTAAGTGCCATCGAGTCGATTCCGACCCATAGCGACCCTGTACAGGGTTTCCGAG